GGACGGGTATCCGAACGAAACACTACACCCTCTTACTGCACTGTGGGTCAGGCTTTTGAGTCAAAGTCTAAAGGTGGATAACTTCAACCAAACCTGCTCCTTTGACCTGCACAACCGAAGAGTATCATTCACCCTTCGTTCATTGGGCCTCTTCCACACCCTCTCTCCACCCATCGAACGATTCAGTGCAACCAATCCATCTGCCAGTCACCTAGCCAGTGTTCCGCGTTTGCACTATCGCCCAGATAAATGAACCTAACTAATCACTTACTAACCTCAAAAGATTCAATTCATGTTACAACTTTCAGAGTCCGTAATCTATGTCAAATTAAGTAACAGGTGTATTTTGCCAACACCTTGCTTTCCCTATCTGTTGCTGTATGTTGTGTCTCCGAAACACGCATACAAGACCCCACTTCAATCATGCACTTCAAGCCGCTTAGGGCGAGCTCAGATACTCCACATTTCACTCTTCGGGTATCTGATGCACCTGAAGCAATGGCTCGTGATATCTACGGTGTGGGAGTTGCACTCAGCCTCAAGGGTGAACTTGATTTACTGGACTGGATCACAGTGAGCAAGCGTGTTCGCGCTGTGCGGTTGTTTGGCTCAATTAAGGTCCATTGAGATTGATAGGATAATCGGCGTTTAGTTGTGTCAGCATGCGCTTCGAAAGATCGCAGTTCTGAGACTGAAGAAGACGAGTTTTATCGTGATCTGTCGAGACTACTTCAGTCAGCAAGAAGGACGGATATGATAACCCTGGCGGATGAAATCAATGCTCAAGTTGGACTAATGATTCCAGAACATGCACACATAGGTGGTAGATTCAGAATCGATGCTCAGCGTACGGATAATGGAGAGCGACTGCTTCAGCTGTGTGCAGATCATTGTCTGTTCCTAGCCAGCACTAAACTTCAGCACAAACACTCACATCGAGTTACTTGGAGTTCACCAACCAAAAGCCAGTTATGTAGTCATCATTGGGTCATGTGGTTATCAGTTACCAAGAGGGAACCTCAGTTAAAGATTGCTGTTCCTTCTGATCATTCGATTGTACGGGTCCTGTCATCACTATGCTTTCCATTAACGTTACGTGACCCTAGCAAGGCAAATCCATTCGTCAGTTTTGACAAGCTTCAGCAACTCAACAGTATCAAACTGATCTGGCCAGAAAACTACTGCGAACGCACAGTCATGAGGAAGACAAAGATTGTCTGGAGGTCGAATAGGAACAAGTTCAAGATACTATTCTCTCCGTTCTCAGGACTGTCTGTCCAAACCATCTGACTAAATGAACGCAAGATGTCGTCGAGGTTGGGAGGTCTGACGACTGCCAGAAAGGACATACCAAAAACTAGCGACTGTGATGGCGCACACAGATCCCTCAAACACCGGATAATCAGGAGCTTTAAGAATGACAGAAAACGCTGGAGGATTTCGAAGGTCTGGGAGATGGAGAAGGTTTTCGCTGCAGGCAACAGCCACACCCTGTTTCAACTGATTCGATCAATCGGTCAAAAGAAGACAGGTGTCAGCGAGACAATATGCGATAAAGACTGAGCAGCAATTTACTCCCCTAATCGTGATGAGCACTTCAAAGAACAGTTCAGCTGGTCTCTTTCAACAAAACCACTGGGAGAACCCAGCGGGCTTGAATGGAACACCGATACCAACTCACCAGTAGCGGCCGACTTCCAGCATGAGATATTAACCCTCAAGCACGACAAGGCCCCTGGTGCGGATGGTCAGCACCCCACACACACGGAGATGGCGAGATCCTGGTGAACAGAATACCAGACGAATGGAGTACCTCGACCGTCATCCCATTTTTTTAAGAAAAGGACGCAAGAACGTCGTGTGAAAACCATCGTGGTATCAGCCTGGTATCCGTTGCATCTAAGGTTCCCACTGCTATTGTTTTGCGCAGGTTGATCGATGGTGGAAGCTGCCGAGAGGTTGACAATATCTGACCCGGCAACGACGTGTGAAAACACTGATAATTAAAAGGACGCACGTCGTGTGAAAACCATCGTGGTATCAGCCTGGTATCCGTTGCATCTAAGGTTCCCACTGCTATTGTTTTGCGCAGGTTGATCGATGGTGGAAGCTGCCGAGAGGTTGACAATATCTGACCCGGCAACGACGTGTGAAAACACTGATAATTAAACGGAGTCAGTTCAACAGCTGCCACCTCCCTGGATTGATACATCAAAAATCAGCTCACCAATGGTTAGTGACACTGGGAGACATGGCTTAATCACGCGTTCACTGGTACTTGTGCTTTAAGCCCATCGTCTTCATTACGTAGCTGTCCCGTTCCTGAACGAATTGTGGACATACCATCGCCTCCGATGCTTGGCTGTATCTCCTACACTTTCCGGTGATCGAAACTGTCGCTGCTGGTACCAATCTATCCACGGTACATGGCTTATAGTGAGTAAATTGGACTGAATTTACCTGAGTCGATCATACTTGAGCTGGTTCCTGGTGGGTAGCACCCACGAAAAGGACGAGTCTTATTTTGTCAGCAGTACAATGCCTATTAGCTCTCTCGAAACTGACATTTGCACATGGCCTGTTAATCGTTTGTTTCCAGTGAGCTTTCTGTTGCCTGTCAATGCGATCTTCTACTACCGTCGATAGTCCAGTGTTTCACTATCAAGTAGACTGCGGCCGCGTCGATCTGACTCGGGAACATGAGGTCAGATTATTCTTTATAAAACATACTACTGAAAAATTTAGCAGTAGAGCAAGAAATAGGCACCAACATTTACCTTGCTCAATTACTCACGTCCAGAGCGAACAGCGGATGGAAAGCGATTACTTGTGACGCAATGGATGCTGAACTTACAGACCACCCGGACACGTGAGGAAAAGCGAATTCCGTCTCCCGGTCACACTGAGATCAACGTGTTTGATGGTTACGCAATTCGTATCTCCACTAGTGAACAAGAGCTCCGGAAAGTAGAAAATGGGATAAAACAGTGGAAAGAATTGGAGACATTGTGAGAACTTGCTGAAAAATAGTTGGAAGGAAGACTGTGGCGGTTTTTATTTACCAGTGGACGTGTTCCGTGCCTATTTGTGGTGATCTTTGATAGTGCACAGTAACAAATACTCGTTAAGTTCATACGGGACCTCTATTTACGCACCTATACGTTGATGCCTACGGATTACTGTTCAAGTAAACCATCGTCCACTTGTATCGGGGGGTCTACACCGAGTGATCTTGCGCAGCGCTTGCTCAATCAATTGACGGAATCGAGTGAAGATAACGTTTTGGGAAATGGAATCCACCAATAAGTCTACTCTGAACGTGGTCTCTCCAGTTCGACATTTTCAAAGTGTAATTTGGTGTAAAGTAAACTCCAAACATGGAACACTCTCGTGGAGGAAGATGATTTTGGAAGCGTAAAACATAACGCAACAATAAATGTGTGACAAAAGCGTGAAATGCCTATGTGTCGTTTCTCATCAGATTCAGATATTTTGTCAAGATCATATCCCACTCACAGCGGTTCAAACAAAACAGCGGGAAAGTGGGGAACTTTGCTGTTGGAGGCAGCATTTAGCTGCAGATTGAGAAAAGAAACGAAATCAGCTGATCGCGTTTTTTCGTTGGTGAATATAACTCCAGACGGAATCGCATAGGCAAAAGAGATGAGTTAGTCTATCAAATAAAAAATCACAGAGTGTGCGCCTAACTGTCAGCATGAAGGTGGACTACATAAGAGGGAATAAGAAGGATTATCACCTTAAGAGTGTCGAAGTTGACTTTACCGCTTGACTGTCGTAAATTGCACCTTCGTTAGTGTGTTTACCTGTCGTATCACTGTTTGGATGCGTGTTTCGGTTCAATGTGACGTACGCTTGAGTCAGAGCAAAGCGCAACTTATATCTGGTGCCTGAAACGCGGGTTTTCGAACGAGGCTTGTCTAGCATTACACTACCCGTGTAACGGTGGATACTACTGATGAGGCATGCGCGTAGTATGTTTTCTCGTACAGCCGCTTCACGTCGATTGAAAAGTGAGATTTACTACGGAATTCGTGGAATTGCTTTGTAGCATTCGTCTACATTTGAGTGATGGTCAGTGAATATCCAGGAAAGTTCAGGAAGACGCATTTGAGAAGAAGGCGGATATTCAAGTCTTTATAACAGAATGCATATGAGAGTTTTGCTTCCCTGTCTAACAGTCTGTAACTGTTTAGTTGGTGTTGTCCAATAAATAAATCGGCAGCGAAAACCTTCTTCCTTTCACCAGCAAATGAGTTGACTGTACCCTTGCGAGTTCATGCCAGTTGGTGAAAAGCACATTTCGTTCCTGCTACGTGTAATACGAGCTTCCAGGTGAGGAGGTGGTCGACCATTTTTGTATCAGTTGGTAGAATGAATGAGCTGTTTACTGCTTTAGTACATTGCTTTAGAAAGCAACAATTGTATCCGTTGACTGGATCCACGAATGCCCTCGTGGGTTATCCAACAGCTCCCCAGCTATTGATGGTGTCAGCGCGCGATTTCAGCACGGGTCTAGTAAATCTTTGGACCTTGATATCCTTTAGTTCTATTCATAAGAAACGATATCGGGGGTGAGATGTAGGCTACGTCTCCTAAATTATCTCTGTTCGTAGAAGAAACTACTCAAAAGGTTGCTGAAAACTCTTCGACAGCCCGCGACCTGTTTCGTCCTTCTTGGGGCCCATCAGGTAGGCGCAGTCCCCGAGTTTCCGTCAACCCTATGCTCTACTTGAACCCGAATTGGACTGTTTTNGAGAAATACACTCATTTGCAAATCAATTTGGTTTTCATGACAGACTCAACTGAGTCTCTCGTTTATGGTATTCTACAACTTAATGTGCTGCACTCAGGCCACCTCATGATTCAGTTCGCATGATATTCGAGATATCGCAGTATATTTTCATAAAACCAAATTGATTTGCAAATGGGTGTACGTCTTGGAAACAGTCCGATTTGGGTTCAAGTAGAACATAAGGTTGATGGAAAATCGGGGACTGCGCCTACCTGATGAACCCCAAGAAGGGCGAAATAGGTCATGGGCTGTCGACGAGTTTTCAGCAACCTTGTAAGTAGATTCGTTTATGAAAATACACTGCGATATCTCGAATATCGTGCCAACTGAATCCTGAGGTGGCCTGTGCGCAGCACATTCAGTCGTAGAATATCATTATCTCTATTCCATTCAACAGCCCGTTGTCTCGATGGGGTCCGGCTAGCTACAACATGGCTCAGTTCCTGGAGAATAAGATAATCGTTCAAATGCTTAACTGCTATACCACCCGAAGAAAGCACTGGTCCTGAGATACTGCTAGGTTGCCCAAGCCTAGAAAGAAGCCGGGAGGCAGTGGTCTAGTCACGGACCTTCTGGTCAGTAAATTCGCTCTCTAACCACTGTACAGTCTCGCCCCCCTGGCGAGTATGCAGCGCGAAACCTGCTCATTGGTTATGTTAGGACATCCAGGCATTTATTCTTCGTAAGCACCAAGCACAGCCGAGAGCTATGAGTCAGGGGAAAAACGAAGTGCGGCTTTTTGTTCCCTAGGAAGTCCACAGAATAATATGAATATAAACGCAGTAAATGAGTGAATAGCTCATTAAAAATAGAGATGACTGTAAATTGCGTACTATTTGGAGATCGGACAGTTAGTGTCAGATGTGGCGTGATGTGAGTCACGTCTGGTTGGCATTTTTTCTTGGCCAGACGAACTCGACTGTTTGTACGAATTGCTTTTGCGCGCAGAGGTCAGGTTTGTGCAGGTGGACGGACCTCAACTCCGCAACAGTAAACAGTTGAATTCGCGTAATGTTCGAGTGGTTTGCTGAGACAATCAAAATAATTGGAATTCATCAAAGGTATTACAGCTGAACTGGAGTCGGGCTTTTGACTTCCACGGATTGGTCAAATCGGGAGGTGTTTACGGATCTTATAACACCAAAATTAAGCAGACGAAATCTTTTCAGTTTTGCCATGTGGAAACACAATGTCACCAATTGAAATTCAACCTCACGGGAGGAATATTTGGACGTCTGTCCGCTCATGGTCTCCCCAGTAAAGCTTCCAGTTGGTGTGTGGTCTGTCCATCTGACTGAGGTCAGTGTAGCCTACCCATCATCGTCCTATATTTCGGTGCAAAAAGTAATCACATAAAGTTAGTCCTGGGCTAAATATATGTTAGGCGAGTCCACACACGTATTTGTCAGACAAAAAGGACGTGTTCTGACAGCAAGGCCGAGGTGGAATGCATATTTGTGGTTTGTTGATGTGAAAACGGACGACTATCATTGGATCTGGTCAGCTCTGTCGAAGAGATATGACGTGTCGAGGAATTTGCGAGATGAGACTGGGTCAACCACCTTTCGAGGTGTACGTGCATTGCCGAGCCACACCCAAATATATTTCCATCTTCCGATTGGTTTTTGCGAGACTTGTGCTAACAATTCCGAGAGCACCTTGAGAATTTTCTCAACAAATCCGCTCGAAAAATAATCACTTTCTAGTTACTCCTGGACAGTCATGAATCACACAAACATGTTTGGATGAGTGTACGTTTCAAACAGCAACATAGTTCAGGGGTAGCCTACCGAAATGAAGGTGGGGAGGAAGTCCTCTAGTCCATTTGGTAACGTTTGCGTTACGCATTGGCTCACCTGAGGACTGGATGAGCACCATAGGAAACGCTTTATTTAGATGATATTGCTAGATCCAACCACGAGCCACTCGTTTGAAACGCTCACAAGATGGTGTGCGATTCCGCTGTTAAAGGTGTTCTCAGGGGGGGTCATAGTTCTCAGGGAGGATGATTTGGCTTACATCAAAACCTTACCCCTTCAAGAATGACACTAAATGTAGTCCCACAAGACCGGAAGCCTCTCTCGTAACTATTCATAAACGTGAATTTGCGGACGAATAAGTTCAGGTTGCTGAGGCATTGGTTTAGTTTTATGGTTGGATAAATTGTGGAGACGAACAAGCAGGCTTCAAATCGGTTATTTTGTTGATGGTTTATCATGATGGGGCTTGCTTTCGCAACTAATAATCAGCCAACCAAAATACGACACCTGTGTTCACGGTTTTTGTGAATGCCGTTTTGTGGGTCAGACCTGAGGTATCAGGTCGGACTGTAAGGTTGATTTAAAACTGTACGTTGAGAGCATTGACAGATTTGCTCCTTCCCCGGAGCATCAACTACATGTTGTCCTCCTGAGTGCTGGAAATTTGTTCCCGAATCTGTCCAGAACGAGGTGAAATTAGTCGACTAACAAATGTTGTTTGGGGTGGAGAGCAGCGAATTTGTACCAAGGGAGGAATCAGCACCTTTGTCAACTCGAGTAATCCCCTACTTACGTGGAGGATTGTGAGAAATGAGACCTTTCCTGGGGCGGAATGCCATTTAGCTGAAGACAACTGGTTCGCCGATATGTAACGCTATGAGAAAATATGCCTTGATATTTCAAATATCTCGGTTCCAAATGAAACATTAGACCACCTATGCACAGCACATTTAGTTGAGGATCACAAAAAACGAGAGATGCAGCTGCGATTCAATTGCGCCTTTCTTGTTTGATATTTCAAATATCTCAGTTCCAGATGAAACATGAGACCACCTATGCGCAGCACATTTAGTTGAAGATCATAAAAAAACGAGAGGTGCAGCTGCGATTCAATTGCGCCTTTCTTGAAGACCAAGCAGGCACGCAAACGGGTTTGTTTCGCGGAGTTCGTGCAATTTGGGTTCAAGTAAAACACAGTTAACGGAAAATCGGGAACTGCGCCTACTAAATGAGCCCCAAGAAGGACGAAGTCGGTCGTGTGCTGCTGAGGAGTCTCCAGCATCCTCTTGAGAAGTGTTCCTTCGTGAACTTTGTTTACTTTTTCGTCTTCCCCCCACAAAAACGTCTCATGTCAGGTGAGGATTGACTCAAGGCCAAGAACCTGACGTGACATCATGCATGTTCTATTCCCAAACAATTTGTAAAAATAAACAGTCACAGAAGATTTGCCTACTGAGCCTAAAGAGTATCAAAGAGCATATCAGCTGATACAATGACATCAGCTGTTCGGAAAAGTGGGGATAGTACACTAGAGTCCTCATCATCGATCGGATACTTTACCTATGGGAAAGTATATTGGCCTAAACAGTGTTAAAGGAAGCAGCATTTGCTGCTGACGCCTGATCGACAGATGCTACCAGTTTACTGATGAGGATGCGTAAAGGATAGTATTGTGCATCTTTAAGATTTCCTAACAGTTTCCCCCACTAGGTCGACCGACAGCTCTCGGAGACCATGTTCATTTTTGTTCACTACATTTCGGAATAAGATTAACCTGAAATGACAACCAATCAACGCAAACGACCGAAATTCCGTTCACCCAAATGTGAAGTCACAGGAGTGGAAATTTACTTGTACCTGGTAGGTTTCTGATCGTACCAGGCAAATTCTTCGAACGTGTTACTTAGGCCTTCCCTGTTCAGAAAACGTCATTTTCCGTTAAACATTTAAAATACGTAACCACACACATTAGGAGGATTCTTGATCCCCGCCCACTACTTTTTATCTGCATGCGTTTGCAAGGAGAAGGCTAATTGACGAAAAGCCACGATCGGCCAGCTTGGTAGTTGGTGCAATACGGGTGTTATAGTTGTTCACTGCTGTTCCATTGAACAACACACTTCCCTTTTCCACAAACAATGTAGTCCCAGTTAAGTTTGGCCTTCTCGAAATTGTATCGTACGTTATTCGTTGTAAGAAGAACTAGTGAGACCTAATCATTTTGCGGTAAGGTCGCAGTCTCTGTAGACAACCGACAGGGGTTGATCCTTCTCTGCACTATTACCTTCCGGAGGTATTTTGTGATTTGATAAACAACATGAAGAAACAGTGTGCTGCTAAGTCCGACCGGTACAGAGGGAGGAGGTCACTATGGCCCTATGCCGTGCAACCAAAATTCTTTTGTGAAGCCCGAAACCACTCCCGGAACAATCTTGTAGTCGTTCAGCTGTAGCACCCTTTCGGTGCCTAACTGCCACGCCACCCGAAGGTTGCACAAGGGCTGGGATACTGACGGGTTGCCCAAGCCTAGACAGGGGAAGTCGAGAGGAAGAGGTCGGGTTCTAACCACGGACATTCCGGTCAATGAATTCGCGCTCTAACCACCTGGGCCGTCTCGCCCCAATAGTCACCCCGTTTTATTTGATAGATGTCAATGCGTCACGTGACAATCCACATGTGTTCATCGGAAGATGCGAGAGTTGTTTCAAAAGCTATCAATGTTGAATTAAAACTGACGGACCCCACGTGAAACTTGAACTCACTTGGAGGCAACATAGTCACCCCCGTTTTATTTGATAGATGTCAATGCGTCACGTGACAATCCACATGTGTTCATCGGAAGATGCGAGAGTTGTTTCAAAAGCTATCAATGTTGAATTAAAACTGACGGACCCCACGTGAAACTTGAACTCACTTGGAGGCAACTTACTGGGAGGGCTGCTCTACATAGAACGCGAATCATGTTTGTAAGATTGTCCATTTCAGACGACTGTGACATTCCACCTCTGAATGCCAAACACCTTAAACTCTGTAGCCTGGCATAGTCTCGATAAAATACGTCAGTCAGATGACATTAAACTGTCAGATGTCAAAAATCCCGGCTTTGTTCAGGTTGTAAATTGAACCAGATACGACTGGGCTGTGGATTGCTGACCAGTCAAGCAAAACGCGTTACCCGTTCATCGGACCGGCTGTGGTTTGGTTGGGAAACGTTTACCAACCTCCCCGTCCTGTGTAGACCGAATCGCCGTTCGCTGCAGCTGACATAACACGAAAATGCTTGTTTGTCTTTCGGTGGCAGTTTCACTGAACCTTTCAGACCCAAAATTTTTTAGGCCAACCGAGAGTTCTCGCACTTCTGGAGCTCACCGAACGATAAGTAAGTCAATCTCATGAAAACTTCAGCCTCTGAGCTGACTAACCAAGTGTTCTGGGTTAAAAAGTAGCACTCTCACCCTCGAAACTTTGATGGGACAGTCCACTCATGCTCTTACAGCGTAGCATAGTTTTGTCAACACTTCTCGTCGACACCTCTGCTGCGAAATTCCAAGTAAGCAACGTTTTTGAAACAGACAAAACCTGATGACTTTAGAGTTTTACATCAATCTGACTTACAGTGTGTCGAAAGTAGTTTCTAAGTAAACAGTCATCGATCCATATTTCCAACCTAGCAATTGGACGCACTATTCGACCACAGGTCTTTTATCCTTATGACCTCAAAAGCAAATTAAGTATAGTAAAACACCTTGTATGTTTTTTCTGACTGTGAAGTGACAAAGTTTTCAATACAGGAGCCAGCAGCCAATTCGGAAATTCACTGCGGGGATTCGAACCCTGGTCTTCAACACTACCTCTTGGCTACATGGGCCTTAACACACGACCGCTGCCATAAAAAGACTGCGACAGTGGTGCACTCTCCTCCATCTGAACTGACTGCTGTCATGAAATGACTTGTCATTATGGTCTCCAAAAGGCTCACAGATTAACTGCATATTGATTTGTGCTGCGAATAACATAAGGCGAAAATTGTGTATGGTTTACGTCCATCTGCTGTTTTGGCACTTATAGGATGATGGCCCAATAAAGTGTATAAAGTAGTCAAAAAGCGTTATGGTGACTCCGCTCTAGTTACTGAAGCAATAAATTTGAGTTATTTTCTACAAATAATCTACACCGGGTTAACAACCAAAGAAACGAAACATTGGTAGTCGTGATTTCAGCACTTCGCGATGAATTGACCACTGACTATTTGAAACTTGGCTTTCCCTTGGAAATAAACCGTGGACCCCATTTCTGTGGAGCTATTGATGGGCTTCCAACTTCGTCTGACATTTGGGGAACAGTGAGGTTGTGTACACACCACATTCAACTTCATTTAGCAGTTTCAGATTGTGACTCTCGCGACCAATGATCGGTCCGTCGGCAGGAGGTGAACTTGAGTTGTGAAGCGATGCTTGGCCTAACCAGCTGTTGATTCATTCATGATCATCATCCTTAAAGACAGCAGCACAGTTGGCACTAATGCTTCACTGCCGTACAACGATAAGGTTCGTCTAGTTATATATAAATATATATATATATATATAATATTAAAAGCCCTACAGTGAAGAGAAGAGAAAAGAGTGGGTGAGGGAGGGGACCTACAGCTGGCCTATGTCAAGCTCACTA